TAGTGTTAAACAAAATTTGTTTTTAAAATTTTCTCAAACGTCTTCTTCGTTTACATTCGAAATTGTTCATCTAGGTTGTTCAGCATGTTCAATGATTCAAAAATACATACATAAATACATGGATACACTTACACGCACTGTATTTCAAATCAGAAAATCACTGACCATTTTGCTTGAAGGTTAATTGAGAGCAAAATTAAACAACCTAACAAATGAAACTAGTATAAAGTATCAGTGTCCATTAAGCACTTACCTCTATGATCACTAAAATCAAAATCAGAATTTCACAAATACCACTACTTCTCAACGCTCAACGATTAGCTATTTGGAAGAAATGATATTAAGGAAGAACATTGTAATGATAGTTACAATTTCAATGGTGAGGACAAAGAAGCATGAACTCTTAATGAGTTCTCATCACGGCTTAAATGGATGAATAAATACAAATTGGCAAAATAAGACAAAACTGATCATCGGTGAATGATCAAAATAACACAAAACTGATCAAAAATATAAATGAACACTTGAAAATTAGTCAAATTCGACTACCGTCGAACAAGTTGCATAAATAGAAAGCAGCATGAAAAAAAAAACTACTCAGACTGATGAATCATTCATTCATCAAATGAAACAAAACAAAGAAAGGTCTCCAATCACAGCATTCATTATATTTTCCAAGTATACGAAGCATATCTCATCTCAAACGAATGTAAATTCTGTTAATCGCAATAATAATTCCAAAACGTGCGATAATTTACGTTCACAATACACGCTTTATATACATAATCTCCAAATGTGAACGGAGAAGGAAAAGGCCAATTGATGTGCGAAAAATTAACATTAGAATTGCGCAATATAAAATTTACAAAACGAAACGAAATGAATTCAAATCGCACAAAGTGTTCCACAGAACCACTGACTTTCTCCACGCTCACCTGCATTCCTTTCCAGGCATTAATCGACCGACCATCACACCGTTCACTTCACTTCATTCAAATTTCCCGTTCGTTGTCCTGTCTCTCATCGCTATAAACTGCTGCTCCAACAGCTTCATTATCTCGACGCGACTTAACTGCTACGCCTTCATCTGAAAAACAAAATAAAATTTANTTTTCTTCCGCATTTCCCAGCATTCAATTCAGAGTCGCTCAAGAAGAACCAATCGAATAGATCACAGATTTCAGAACAAATAAATGATAAAGCGCGTAGCAATCGCAGTGTGGGAATGATGATAATGGGGAATGACATAAAAGACGGGAAAAAATGATCAAATGATCATCGGAAAAGTGATCATATTTGATGATCATTACTATTACCAGTAACCTGTTATAAGCGCTAACAATAACAATCATTATTATTATTCTCTTCTCTTCCATCACAAGTGTTTCTTTCACTGTTACAGAATGGTAAAAAGCCTTCTATGGGTAAAATTAAACATTTACTGTAAAAATTTTAAAAAAGCGGAAGGCAACTGCAATTTTCATCATCCGGTATCACGGTTTCTAACAGGACGTGTGGACTGTCAATCATACTAATAAAAAGATAGATCTCAAGTTTCGAGTTCACTTATGGTAAGCTTGAAGCAATCAATCACGTACAATACCCTCAGAAATGACTCTGCTGAATGAATAAGCGTTCAACACAATTGCTAACAAAAAGTGCTTTCCATAGAGCAGTCAGCAATATTCATACCCGCATTTTCTGCGTACTCCCCACCAGGCACTACCAGTCGTCCGTCGTCTACTTGTGCGCCGAACTGGTCCTTTCGATCCTCGAGTTTCACTCGATCAC